ACAGAGGTCGCCCAAAACAATCGGACCTCCCCACCCCACCTTCTTCAATGGGCTGGACGGGACAACCGGCCAGGCGGCCCGGCCGCCCCCCCAGGCGACAACCAGGTTGCCGGGTGGCCCGTGGACCATCCAGCTGAAATCTTCATTTGGTACTCAGGATTTTCCACACAATCTGAGAATACCTGCCTGAACAGAATCCCCTCTTAATCACCTACTTGTCAGAATTCTACATTGTGACAAAATGTAACTTGGTCTTATGGCAGTCAGTCCTTGAACGTCGTCTGATCTTGAGGGCTCAAGGATAGACAAAGGGTTGAGCAGGAGAGAGGACTGGGTAAAGGGTTTAAAGGGTTTAAGGGGTTTAAGAAGAGGAGTACAGAAGATGAAGAGTTTTAAAATGGTTTAAAAGGGTCTAAAAGTTTGAAAGTCAGTCAGTTTACAAAAAAAAAAAAAAAAAAAAAAAAAAAAAACGAGGTTGTTTTTCTGGGGCCTCGGGCACCCAACTTGTGCCCGGATGTGTGCCCGGGTGCCCAGCCGGGCATGACCACAGGGCAGGGTGCCGGGCAGGCCCAGTGCAAAAAAAAAAAAAAAAAAAAAAACGAAAGTAAAAAAATTCCAGAAAAAAAAATGTAGTGTAGCAAAATCACACTAAGGCACCCCCCTTTAACCCCCCTTATATTAGCCCCTTTCAAGGAAATTTATACCCCCCTTCCCCCCCCCTTGGCAGCCAACTCTCAAAAAATGGAAAGAGCCCGGACTTGGGGTCCTCTGGAAGACCGCAGAAAGTCGAAAAACAAAAAAAATAAATTGCATGCCCGGGTGCGAAGCTGGGCAGGCCCGGCCGTGCAGGAAAATCTTCCTAGCAAAAAACAGTTAGGAAACGGTCTGATTCCCCCACAGGATGGACAAGGAGCACAGGCTACAAAGGCCTGTTTATGATTAGGAAACAAAGGCAAACTAAAATAAAGGGCCACGGGGACCTGTTATGATTAGAACGAAGGGTAAAAACAAAATCATCAATATAAAGTATTATAGACTGAAATCTTCATTCGCGAAATGCTGAACGCAGCTGAAGACCACATTTCCATTTCCGCAACTTTCCGGAGCATTCAGTAAGGGAACCTAACCTTGTCTTCTTTTCTTTTTTTTAGGGGGGGGGGGGGGGGGGGGGGGGGGGGGGGGGGAAGGGAACCCAGTTAGGAACCGGCCTGATGCCCCCAGGATGGACAAGGAGCAACGTCCACAATGGCCTGTTTATGATTAGAAAATAAAGAAGAACTAAATCTGCATCCGGCTGATATTAATTTTTGCAGAGCATCTGCATCATGAGTCATGACAGAGGAGGAGAAGGACGTGCAAAAGGAAGGAGGGCGAAGGCCCTTAGTTTTGCTGAACTTTTCTCCTTGCCCAAGAGGTGGACTTAGAACAGTAGTATTCTCCTTGGGGAAAACCAACCAAAGGTGGATTTAAAACAGTAGTAAGAAGCGGGGGGGCAAAAAAAAAAAAAAAGGTAGTAAGAAAACGAAAGGACTCGAACAAAAGAAAAAAAAGGGAGAAAAAAAAAGGTAGTAAGAAAACGAAAGGAGTAAATTTTGTCACGATTAATATGCTTAACTTGGTGGCCGAGAAGAGATTTTCGGTAGCTGAACAACACTCAGTCAAACTACAGGCAAAGTGGACTCGTCAGCTTAGCTTCGCTGCTCTGCAGCCGGGCGTGAATGTTTTTTCCCTAAGGTCGCCCTGCAAGAATGTACCAGCAGAGAGAGTCAGGTGCACCGACTGCACCTGTGCGGCGCACATGCCTACGTACATTCTGGCATGACTTTTGGAATGGAATATTATAAGTTTTTTGATGCAAGGATCACTGCAAAGGGTTCATCATGTTATGCATCGCAGATTTTGG